AAAAATAATTGGTATCTTCCAATAAAGCAATATTGTCCAACTCATGTGAATATAAGAAAGTTAGGTATGATCTTAGGAAGTACTCCTCCGGTCCACAATAAGTGATTTTTTGGCCTTTTTTTGTGGTCCAAAATAAGTGATTTTTTCAGATTTCAAGAATGAATTAATTATTTTTTTCCTACATTGCCCATGGAGTAAATAGAGTTGGAGTATGTGTTAGGAGTGTTTATGTGAAGAGATAGTAAAGGTTAATATGGTCAATTTCATTGCTAATTAATGTAAAAAGGTAAATTTGTTAATCTGTGTTAAAACAGCCAAAAAATCACTTATTTTGGACCGGAGGGAGTATTTTTTATAATAAGAATTTATACTAATAATTACAAATAAAACTAGTAAATACTAAATTGTTCATCATATGATGGTTCAGGGGAGACGCCATGATTTTGCCTCATCAAATGCATATTCTATATTGTTTTGCTTATTTGCCATCAATTGTGAAATTCAACATATATGCCGACCTTTTGAAATTAATTAAGTGAACAAATATGGAGGTTTAATTTTTGTTGTATATGATTTATAGAGGTAAAAAAGAGAAATAAGATTAAGTCATATTCAACATAAGAAATCATAAAATGTGACATAAAATGTTCTGCATACAAAAAGAAATTAAAAAAAAATGTTTAAAATAGCTTCCTTAAAATAACATAGAAACAAACTTTAAAGAATATAAATATAAGAGGCAAATAGTTGATGCAATAGCAAATATAATACAACAATAGCACCAAATCTAGTATAACCTCACAGTTGGGATCTCGAGAGGGTAGTATGTATGTAGAGATCTTACCCCTACCTAGTGAAGGTAGAGAAACTGTTTTCGAATGACATTCGGCTCGGGAAAATATGAGAAGAAGAAGAAGAAGAAGAAGAAGAAGAGGAGGAGGAGGAGGAGGAGGAGGAGGAGGAAGAAGAAAAGAAAGAAAAAGAATAGAAAATATAAAGAAGAAGAAGAAGAAGAAAAGAAGTAGTACCAAACAGTAATAACAGGAAAATATGATAACTGAAGCGAACGAAACAACATAACGTAATAAAGATCTAAGAATATGAAAGTACAAGAGTGCTACTAGTACTATTGGTAAGAAAAGTGAAAACTTCTGACTACCTACTAACCTTCTACCCTAATTTTCGACCTCCACACCTTCCCATCAAGGGTCATATCCTCAGTAAGCTGAAGCAGCACCATGTCCTACCTAATTACCTCTCCTCAATACTTCTTGGGACTACCTCTACCTCTTCTTAAACCCCCTATTACCAATCTCTCACACCTTCTAACAAGACGGTCAATGCTTATGTTTTGCATCAATAGCAAATATAAAATAAAAAATAAAAAACAAAGGAAGAAGTACATACCTGGTGCGGAAGTTGTTGTGCTAACATTGAGAATTTGGAAGGAGTCAAAGAGGTATGAGTGATAAAGAAAGGAAAAGGTTTTCTTCTTCCTTATTTTTAAGAAAAATATATTTGTAAAAAGGAGAGAAAGAATTTGAAAAGTCGCCTTGTAATTACATCATATAATTTCACTCAATTCCTTATTCCCCCTTGATATTTCTCGAGTATAATTACTCCCTCTCAATTACACCTAAATCCCTACTCACCAAGTAATTACTTAGCTAAACAAACCAGTCAAATGGTATAATTTACACTCAATTATGTCCAAATTCAGTTCCCTTATGATTTTCTAACATACTCTAAATATGGGAATTAAAAATAGACATGGATTCAATTTGCATGCAAAAGCGAGAAGAACAAGAAAATTTACAGCAATTACAATTCACAACATATTCTTTACACAATTTATCTATGCTGGTTAGAATCTTGCGTTGCTTAAGTGTGTGGTTTGTTGTTTCATTATGTGGCCTAAGACAATTCTTACTTGTTGAACTACTTTTTAAAATTGGGTTATGTTTAAGGTTCAATTTCAACATAGTGTCGAAGTCAAATTAAAATGGACCTGTTTGGTATCCATGTCATGTTACTCCAAGCTCAGTTGAGGATCTTGATTTTTTGGCATGTGAGGGATGAAAGGGTCTCAAGTAGTTGTGTGTATGATCACTTGGATATCAATCCTTATATCATGAGCTAGTTTTTTTTGCTGAACTTTATGGAGGAACAGCCATGAATGAGCTCAAGCTAAGGAAGAGAAAATAGAAGAGAGAAAAGGAAGAAAGAGTAGAGAGAACAGAAGAAATCAATAGAACAGTAACTGCTCCTTTTTTCATTCATTTCATATGTACAGTAGAGTATGTATATATATACACGTGAGTAACTCACTTAACTACTTAGCTAGTCTTGGTAGATATAAATAGACTAAACTACCCCTACAAGCTTAAGTCACTCCTCTTTCCTTAATACTCCCCCTCAAGCTAGGTGATACAAAAATATCAAGGACACCTAGCTTGGACATTAAGTACTCATACTGCACTCTAGTCAATCCTTTTGTGAGAACATCTGCAAGTTGTTCCCTTGTGGCCACATACTCTGTCTTCACCAGTCCATTTTGTATTTTTTCCCTTATAAAATGGCAATCAATCTCGATATGTTTGGTACGTTCATGGTACACTGGATTTGCAGCTATCTGAATTGCTGCCTTGCTGTCAGTATGAATGGTTACAGGAAGAGCAACAGGTATTCCCACATCTTTGAACAAACCTAGAATCCAAACTATTTCTGCCACAGTGGATGCATTGCTTCTGTATTCAGATTCTGCAGAACTCCTAGAAATAGTGCTCTGCTTCTTAGACTTCCAGGATATTAGTGAATCACCATACATAATGAAGAATCCAGTTACAGATTTTCTAGTGAGGGGACATGCTGCCCAGTCAGCATCACAATAGGCTATGACTGTACTCTTCTTCTTGGTAGACAATAAGTATGCATTGTCCAGGCTGGTTCTCACATATCTGACTATTCTCTATGCAGCCTCCATATGAGATCTTTAAGGTTTTTGCATGAACTGACTCAATGTCTGTACACTGAATGCTATGTCTGGTCTTGTGACAGTTAGATAAAGAAGTTTCCCTAATAGTCTTTGATACTTGCTGGGATCAGGTAGCAGCTCATCAGTTGTTGTGTTGTGCAAGCCTGTATGTTCATCATAGTCTTTGGTTGTTAGCCTAATGTTGGCTTCAATAGGAGTAGTAGCACGTTTGGCAGCTCCCAGGCCAAGTTCAGAAATTAGCTCCAGATTGTACTTTCTTTGGTGCATTAGAATGCCTTGTTGTGACCTAGAAAACTCAATGCCAAGAAAATATTTCAGCTCACCTAGGTCTTTCGTTTTAAATGCCTGTTGCAGATTGGCCTTGACTTCCTCTAATAGCATCAGATTAGGTCCAATGAGTAGCATGTCATATACATACACTAGAATGACTATAGTATGTTCACCTGTTCCCTTAATGAACAAAGAGTGGTCATGCTGACTCTGTGAGAACCCAAACTACAGTAGGGCTTCTGAGAGTTTGGCATTCCACTGTCTTGGTGCCTGCTTGAGTCCATATAAGGATTTCAGAAGTCTGCATGTTGGTCTATTCTCCCCCTGACTCTGAAATCCTTGTGGAAGTGTCATATAAATCTCATCATGTAGATCACCCTGAAGAAAGGCATCGTACACATCCATTTGATGGATATGCCAATGTTCAGAAGCAGCCATAGCTAAAACTGTCCTAACAGTAACCATTTTGACCACAGGACTGAAGGTTTCCTGGTAGTCAATACCCTCTTGTTGGCTATACCCCTTAGCCACAAGCCTGGCTTTGAACCTTTCCACCTCCCCTGTAGCTTTGTACTTCACTTTATATATCCATTTACAGCCAATTGGAATTTTGTCAGGAGGTAAGGGACCACATCCCAGGTGTGGTTGGATTCCAATGCAGTGATCTCAGCTTGCATTGCCTCAACCCACCTAGGATCCTTGACAGCCTCCTCAAATGTAGTAGGCTCAACTATGGAGGAAAAGGCAGATAGGTAGCACTGATAGACAAACCATCATATGAGATGTTGTTAGCAATAGAGTAGGGAACAACTTTGTGACTGGAACATGTCACAAAATCTTTTAGCCAAATAGGAGCTTGCTTAGTCCTCAGGGATCTTCTTAGGCCAGTAGAAGGTTGATCAGTTGAAGGGAGCAAGTGCGGCACTCCTTCAGTGATGTTATCCAGCTGAACATATGTCTCCTGGCTTGAGGCACCACCTGCAGGACTCAGAGTAGAAGAAGAGGAATGGACCTCCTTTGAGTTGTGAAGTTGTGTTGGAGAGGTGGTAGTGTAGTCTGCATCATAAGTAGAAGATTCAGAGGACAGAAATACAAGTGGAGAAGGATGAGATTCCTTAAAGGGAAAAATATCTTCTCTGAAAGAAACATCCCTGTTGATGAAGAAGCAATTGGTAGAGAGATCCAATAGCAGATAACCCTTTTGAGTGTCAGAGAACCCCATGAGAACTGCAGGTTTGGCTCTGGGAAGTAGCTTGTCTGTCTCTTGCACTTGTTTGGCATAACACAAGCAACCAAGAACTCTTAGATGCTCCAAGGTAGGTGTCTTGTTCCAAATAACAGCTCAAAAGGAGATAAGCCATATAGAACAGAACTTGGCATTCTATTGATAATATAGACAGCTGCAAGAACACAGTGACCCCGATACTTAATAGGGATATGTGCTTGAAATCTCAAGGCCCTAGTCACCTCCAGAATATGTCTATGTTTCCTCTCAGCAACTCCATTTTGCTGAGGGGTATATGCACAGGTCTTCTGATGAATAATACCATACTTTTGAAATAGAGCAAGACACACATAGTTGACAAACTCACAACCATTATCTGATCTAACTGTCTTGAGAACTTTGTTGAATTGAGTTTGAACAAAGACAATAAACTGAGGTCTACTACACACCATCATACTTTAGCCTTAAGAGAAACAACCAGGTCATTCTTAGTGAAATCATCAACCCCAGTTAGAAAAGTGATCTATATGGACCATCAACTGTTGCATGTTTGTAAGGACCCCAAACATCAACATGAATGAGATCAAATGCAGCACTACTTTTAATACAACTAATAGGAAAGGGCAGTCTGGTCTGCTTAGCACATGGACACACAGTACATTTATTGATGATATCAGTAATAGTTGCTAATTTGGTAGGAAACAGTTTATTAAGAACTGTACTAGACACATGACCTAATCTTCCGTGCCACAAGTCAAGAGCTATAGTAGAATTCCTCCTGTGTGTTTTTATTCCTGCTGCAGCTAGTGAAATGGCAGTGAGTCTCTTGGAACCATGCCTCTGTAGAAAATAGAGACCATCTCTCTCCCTACCAATCTCCCTCACCCTGCCACTGAAGAGATCCTGAAATATACAAAAATCAGGATAAAAGGAGGCAAAGCATTTTAGATCTCTTGTCACCTTTGAAACAGACAACAGATTGAATTTGAACAGGCACATAGAAAACTTCTTTAATGACATTGTTGTTAGAAATGTGACTGTCTCCAATATGTGTGACTTGAGTAACATCTCCATTAGGTAGTAGCACCTGTCTGGGCTCACTAGAGGTAGAGAGGGAGGTTTTAGTTAGCATATTAATATCTGAAACCATGTGGTTTGTGGCTCCAGTATCAATGATCCATTCCTGCAAGCTAGGTGATGAAGCCAAGAGAGCAAGGTCAGTACCTGCTACATTTGCCTGAGAAGTGGAAGATGAAGTGCCATTGTGATTGCTGTTCAGAATCTGCATAATTTGCTCATATTGTTCTTTAGTGAATGGGAAAGCACCTCCTTGAGATGAAGCCTGGGAATTTGTAACATTACTGGCCAGTGGTGTAGAAGAGCCACCCTGAACTTGAGCACTAGCACTTCCTTGTCCCTGATAGGTTCCACCACCCTGACTCATACCCTGATAATGACTGTAGTTTGCAGGCAGAGACTGCAATGGATTGCCCTGAGAAGCATTTTCAGCATATAGAGGCATAGAGTAACTAGGTTCTACCATGACATTGTGTGCACTAGCTCCCCCTTTATTCTTAGGCCTATAATCAGTTGGATATCCTATGATTTTGTAACAATTCTCCTTACTATGACCTTTCATTTTGCAGAAGTCACACTGAACATTGTAGTTCTTTCTAAACCTTGAGTTAGAATTAGACTTAGCACTATATAGTGCTGTTGATTCATAGGTATTAGGGTTCATAATAGGAGGAGGACCTAAAACACTAGCTGATGCAGCTACAGTTCGTTGACTTTCATCACTCATAAGCATGGCATAAGCTTGGTTCACTGTAGGTAAGGGCTTTTTCATGAGGCTTTGACTACGAGCTTGTGAATAGGAGTCATTCAAGCCCATCAAAAACTGATATACCTTTTGTTTTCGAAGATGCACAATAAACTCCCTTGTTTTTGCACAATCACAGTCAGGTGTAAGTATTATAGACTCAGATTCATCCCAGAGATCCTTAAGTTTTGAGTAGTATACAGAGATAGATGATGTACCTTGACACAGAGTGGCGGTTTCCTTGTGTAAATTGTAACATCGAGTGTCGTTTACCTTATCAAATCTCTCCTGAAGATCTAGCCACACATTTTGTGCATTAGTGGCATAGGCTATACCACTAATTAGTGATGGAGCCACTGAATTCATCAACCATGAGAGTACAATAGCGTTACACCTTTCCCACTGGTACCAGTACTTCTCGCGAAACCTTTCCTTTGGCCATCGTCCATCAACAATTCCCAGCTTATTACGACCTAACAATGCAATTCGCATAGATCTATACCACAAGGAGTAATTATCAGTTCCAGTTAACTGAAATGAAATTAGAGAGATGCCGCTGGTATCTCCAGGTGCCAGATATAGAGGATGAGTCACTGCAATTGTAACTCCTTCCTCGAACTCATCATCCGACGATGCACGCGATATGGTCTCAGCTGTGACAGTAGTGTCAGTGACATTCTCGTTAGTAGCAGTCGCATTCTCATCATCAATCGCCATAATCGAGATATTCTAGTTTTTTTCTCTCAGATCTGGAAACTATTGAGGTCACAATTGACTCAAAATAACACAAAATTAACAGAGATAGAAGCAGAGAGGGGACTTTGGATCGATTTTGAGCTTCGATTCGGAGCTCAAAGCTCTGATACCATGCTGAACTTTATGGAGGAACAACCATGAATGAGCTCAAGCTAAGGAAGAGAAAATGGAAGAGAGAAAAGGAAGAAAGAGTAGAGAGAACAGAAGAAATCAATAGAACAGTAACTGCTCCTTTTTTCATTCATTTCATATGTACAGTAGAGTATGTATATATATATGTGAGCGCTACTGTGTTAAAACACAAAATCAGAAAACTGTTAGAGGAATAAAAGAAACTGGAAAAACAGTAAAGATTCAGAAATATTCCGAGTCCACAATTTGCTTGTGCGTCCTTAAGGAATTTTAACCCCTCACACGTTGCCAAGGTAATGGATTAAATCCTCCCAGGATAAAACGGAATAAACCTTCCTGCAACAGTGGCAATACAAACTGCAGGATACCAACGAACTTAAAGAGCGGAGCAAAAATCACACTTATGAATTCGAGAGAGAGAGAGACTGCGAATTAGAATGCAGTATTTTCAGAAAGAAGGAAGTTCTGTAATGTTTTTGGTGTATTAAAAACGAAGCCATGCCTCAGAATTTATAGGCAATTATTGGAAGAGGTGTGATGTCTGTTCTAGAAAAGGTGCCTGTTCAGAAATTTCGCGTCCTGCCGCGGTCCTACCGCGGTTACGCCAGGACCGCGGCCAGAAAGGCTCTCTGAATCTGCAGCAGAGTTCTGGCGCGGTCCTACCGCGGTTACACCAGGACCACGGCCAGACTATATTTCTGAATCTTCAGCAGTGATCTGGCATTTAATTAATTATTAAATAATTAATTAAATAAATTTTGTCCAAAAAATAATCTTGTCGATCGATCATTTGACAAATCCAAATCCAAATCCAAATTCAAAGCTAAAGCCGAAGCCGAGCCGAGCGAGCGACGACGACGGCGCGAGGGTTCATTCTCTTCAACTCCTTTTAAGAGATTTAAGAAGTGATTCTATATATAAGCACACAAATATAGTTGTCCCTCACCAATGAGGGACAAAGTGCAAGTCAAAAGTTTACTTCATTCAAATTTTCATTCAAATTTTCATTTCCCTCCATTTTATTTCCCACCATTTCCAATTCACACTTTTAAACTTTAAAGCCCAATGCTTAAGTCTTTGAAGCCCAATGCCTTTAAAGTCCAACAATCCCCCACATGAATGGGAATGGCTGTAACAAGAATGATCATAGATGAAAGCTGTGTGATTTGCAAGTAAGGATTAATCGCATCTGGATAAGTAGGTTTCCCTTTGAACTTTCCGTAGTGAACATATGTCGGATATACTCGGTCAATCGGTAGATTTGATATCTTTGAACCGTCGAACTTTAGTGTATACCTAGACAACCATATGTCACACAACCAACCCTTAACCGTCTTTTAGTTCTCATTGTTGTGTTCGTTTCAGCCATGAACACCGCCTGATTTCATAAGTGCGTAGAGAATTGGCCTTACAGAATTCTCATTGAAGCGGCTTCCACTTCACACTTACATAGGTGATTCCTAAACGTGTAATCCTATAGATTGACACTATTTGATAAATACCATATCAAACTTAGGTAATCATTAAAGAACGTGTAAAGTTCTATCCTTGTTACTGAACATTGTCTTCATCACGAGAATGGACCAAAGATTTTACTTTGACAATGTTGAACCGGTCAATCACAACTTTGTTTGAGCTCCTTGAACCTAGATCTCGGAACATCCAAAATTCTAGGTAGAGTTACCGCCATGTTGACTTGTCCTCGACCATAGTCCCATTCCCTTAGATGATTTCTCAACTCCCTCTCTAGTTAAGCCTTTTGTAAGCGGATCTGCCACATTATCCTTTGATCTTAATCAATAGTGATAATTCCACTAGAAAGTAGTTGTCTAACGGTGTTATGTCTTCGTCGTATATGACGAGACTTTCCATTATACATAACGCTCTCTGCCCGTCCTATTGCAGCCTCACTATCGCAATGTATGCAAATAGGAGCCAAAGGTTTTGGCCAGAACGGAATGTCTTCTAAGAAATTTTGAAGCCATTCAGCTTCTTCACCGGCTTTATCCAAAGCTTTAAACTCTGATTCCATTGTAGAGCGAGCGATGCATGTTTGTTTGGAAGACTTCCAAGATACTGCTCCTCTACCAATAGTAAAAACATATCCACTTGTGAACTTTGTTTCTGTTGAGCCGGTTATCCAATTTGCATCACTATATCCTTCGATAACCGCAGGATATTTATTGTAGTGCAAAGCGTAGTCTTGGGTATATTCCAAATATCCCAGAACTCGTTTCATTGCCACCCAGTGATGTTTGTTGGGATTACTTGTGAATCGACTAAGTTAACTTATTGCACAAGCTATATCAGGTCGTGTACAGTTCATGATGTACATTAAGCTTCCCAACACACGAGCATACTCCAATTGAGACGTACTTTCACCTTTATTCTTTATAAGGTGATCATTAAAGTCAATTGGAGTTCTTGCACTTCTAAATTCCAAGTGTTTGAATATTTCAAGTACCATTTTCACGTAATGTGATTGAGACAAAGCTAGACCCTGAGGAGTCCTCTGGATTTTAATTCCTAGAATTACATCGGCAACTCCTAAGTCTTTCATATCAAACTTACTAGCAAGCATACACTTAGTAGCTTGAATGTCGGCAATGTCTTTGCTCATTATTAGCATATCATCAACATATAAGCAAACAATGACTATATGATTTGGAACGTTCTTAATGTAAACACATTTATCACATTCATTAATCTTAAAGCCATTTGACAACATCATTTGGTCAAATTTCGCATGCCATTGCTTGGGTGCTTGTTTTAGTCCATAAAAGGACTTAACAAGACGACACATCTTCTTTTCTTTTCCCGGAACCACAAACCCTTCAGGTTGGTCCATGTAAATTTCTTCCTCTAAATCACCATTTAAGAAGGCTGTTTTTACATCCATTTGATGGATTTGAAGACCATACAAGGCGGCTAACGCTATTAGCATCCGAATAGATGTAATTCTTGTTACCGGCGAGTATGTGTCAAAATAGTCAAGACCTTCTCGCTGTCTAAATCCTTTGACAACAAGTCTTGCCTTGTATTTGTCAATAGTACCATCGTCTTTCATTTTCTTCTTGAAAATCCATTTAGAACCCAATGTTTTGTTACCTGGAGGAAGATCAACCAATTCCCAGGTATGGTTGCTCAATATGGATTCTATTTCACTATTGACAGCTTCTTTCCAATATTGTGCTTCTGAGGAAGACATTGCTTCCTTGAAGGTACGAGGATCATTTTCTAGCAAGAAAGTCAGAAAATCTGGACCGAATGAAGTAGATGTCCATTGACGTTTACTTCTTCTCGAATTTTCCTCATTAGGCATANTTATTAATAAAATTATTGATTTGGGTCATACCTTCAGCAAGGAGGTCAAGCACAATAACTTGTAATTCTTGGACTGGAGTTATGACCGACCTAGTGTCAATCATCTTGAAATCCAAAAACCTTGCAGCCACAAACTTCTTAAGTCCGGCATCCTCCGTCTTGTACTTTTTCTCAAGCGCATTCCATAACGCTTTTGAAGTTTCCATGACACTATAGACATTGTACAGGCTATCTTCCAAACAACTCAAAATGTAGTTTTTGCACAAGAAATCAGAATGTTTCCATGCTTCAGCTACAACTAATCGTTCGTCATCTGGAGTGTTTTCAGCCAGCACCGGAGGATCCTCCTTGATGAATCGCTGCAAACTCAACGTAGTAAGATAGAAAAGCATCTTCATTTGCCAACGTTTGAAGTCGATACCGAAAAACTATCCGGGTTTTTCTGCTGGTGCCATAGCATGAGCAGGAGTTGAACGGCTTGACGAGGCAGCAACACTCGTCACAGTAGCACCCGTTCCCGCAACATTTCCATTAGTTTGGTTTTCATTCGTCATTTTTCCTGTAGAGTTGGAGACAGGTCAGAAATTTGTTCAATCAGTGAAGTTTTGATATCTTTAAACTGAATACCAAACCAAACATACAACACGTAACAATGGTGAAGTTTTTATATACTTCAAACCCGTACGTTTATTATTCCGGTAGAGTTTTGATATTCTTTAAACCGGATAGAACAATTATTGGAGTAGAAAGCTTGAAGGCTTTAGTCTCCAAAACAATACACAAAATATAGATAACAGGTTTTTAATATATATTTCAACACAGAAACGTTGGAATAAAATTCCTTAAGCTTGTGAGCGCTACTGTGTTAAAATACAAAATCAGAAAACTGTTAGAAGAATAAAAGAAACTGGAAAAACAGTAAAGATTCAGAAATATTCCGAGTCCACAATTTGCTTGTGCGTCCTTAAGGAATTTTAACCCCCTCACACGTTTCCAAGGTAATGGATTAAATCCTCCCAGGATAAAATGGAATAAACCTTCCTGCAACAGTGGCAATACAAACTGCAGGATACCAATGAACTTAAAGAGCGGAGCAAAATCACACTTACGAATTCGAGAGAGAGAGACTGCGAATTAGAATGCAGTATTTTCAGAAAGAAGGAAGTTCTGTAATGTTTTTGGTGTATTAAAAACGAAGCCATGCCTCAGAATTTATAGGCAATTATTGGAAGAGGTGTGATATCTGTTCTGGAAAAGGTGCCTGTTCAGAAATTTCGCGTCCTGCCGCGGTTACGCCAGGACCGCGGCCAGAAAGGCTCTCTGAATCTGCAGCAGAGTTCTGGCGCGGTCCTACCGCGGTTACACCAGGACCGCGGCCAGACTATATTTCTGAATCTTCAGCATCCAAATCCGAAGCCGAAGCCGAAGCCGAAGCCGAAGCCGAGCCGAGCGAGCGAGCAATGACGGCGCGAGGGTTCATTCTCTTCAACTCCTTTTAAGAGCTT